AAATAAATAAATAAAATTACAAAGGAGGTCCCATAATTACTTTGGAAGTATCACCTCCACCAAATGCCCCTTCCTTTGTAGTGCACAAGACAAACCTGTCACATATGAAGCCAAAGATCCAACAGAGACCAGTGGTGCCATTTCCGTGCATACATGTACAATGTGAAATCCATTCCTGAATTTTGAAAAAAAGAATAAATACAAAATAACATCCTTGTTGGAAACTTGGAAAAGGTAAAGGAGCGCCAAAAAAGAACAAAGAGAAATACAACAAAAGCATGGATGTAATAATTACAAAGGTGGTACAATTCATGATTTTAGAAAAGATACACAACTGAGCATTTCCCAATTAATCCCGAAAACCCCGATCAGGAAGTGATAAAGAAAAGCATAACATAACATGATTCAGTAAATCCATACTTTTACACAATAACATAGTTTGTTACATTATTTTACAAGTGTTCCAAATAAAAAGAAAAGTCGTTTGTCAAATCTGGTTACCACTTTTACCTTGGGTTTCTCTCAGAGAAATGACGGAGTTCTGCTAAAATCTCAGCATCACTCTTCTGCAGGGTGTCGTTAAATACTTCAGCTACGCTAACTTTGTGATCCATGACCAGCCTTCTCAAATTAGATGCCTCTGCAGTGGTAACCATTCCCATGAGGACCATTGAGTCTATCCGAAGGAGTATCTCCCAAAACATTGATAGCCTATCTGGTTTACAGGACATCAATAAAAAGACATTATTAAACTTTAACCTTCATGAACTCTAGACTTGTTTCTTCTGCAAAGAATATGATCATAGAACATTGTCCTTCTATCTTTCCTACTCAAGTAAAAATACGAAGATATCATTGCAAAATGGTACATAAGCCTGCCCAAATTACACTTTTGGTTTCTGTAGTTTATGCTCAATCGCACATTGATTCTTATAATTCCAGTTTCAATAAATGTACATTTATAGTTTTTTAATTTTTTAAATGCGTTCCAACTTTACATTCTGTCAAATTGGTTAATGAAGATTTTCAAAAAAAAAAAAGCAAATGTACCTTCAGCATGACCCAACTTCACATTTTAGCCAATTTGAATTTTCTGCCTTGATAAATCAGAACAAAAATTCAGATCTTCCATCAACCAATATGACAGAAACGTAAATTTAGAACATAATGCGAAGGTTACCAAATTAAGAAGGCAAATTCGTTAAAATTACAACTACAGGTACTAAAGTGAAATCAGGCCTACGATAGGAACCAAAAGTATAATTTTGGGCCTTCCAAATAAGAAAGAGGTATAAATCAAGTGAGTAAGGGCTGAAGGTACCTTGAGGTTTTGCAACAGCAGTCTGCTTTTCCAGCTCCAATTGCTCTATCCTATCAACCAACAGTTGTTTCTCTATGTTGATTTTGTTAAGATCTTCTACCGCCTTAAGACGATGTTGGTTCAAGTGTAGAATATCTGGATGTCATTTTCAAAGAATGAAAGAAAAAACCCAAAACTATATTAGAAATTTAGAAATGAAAACACATAAAAAGGCACAAATTAGATGAATTGCATTGAGGACTTTGGACTTACTCTTCTGAGCTTCTCTGAAGAGTCGCCAAATTTCGGACTGTTTCGGTTCCTCAGCATTGGATGACTTGCACTTTGCGTAATGCAGACAACAAAATCATCAGCAGCACAAAAACTAAGGACTTTAAACACAACCATTGAAAAGACTAATTCGTAGTACCTACCTCCTGAGGCTG